GATGATTTGTTGGATGAGTTGGCAGAAGCTTCCTATTTTTCTAAGATAGATTTGAGATCATGATATTGGAAAATAAGAGTTAAAGTGGAGGACATTCCCAAAACAGCATTCATGACACATCATGGGCACTATGAGTTCAAGTTAATGCCTTTTGGTTTAACAAATGCACCTGCCACTTTTCAAGCACTAATGAATGAATTATTTGGTCCATATTTGAGGAAGTTCGTGTTAGTATTTTTTGATGATATTTTGGTGTATAACCCTAATCGTTTAGCTCACAATCAAAATTTGAAGGTGGTTTTGGAAATCTTGAGGACTAATCAGTTGTATGCAAAAAGAAGTAAATGTTTTTTTGGACAAAACAGAGTAAATTATTTGGGGTATGTAATATCAGCAGAAGAAATTTCTACTAATCATTCCAAGGTGGAAGCAATGCAGAAATGGCCAGTACCAAAGAATCTCAAGTCTTTGAGAGACTTCCTAGGACTTTCAGGATACTATAGGAAGTTTATTAAGGGGTATGGAGAACTTAGTAAACCACTGAAAAGTTTACTGAAAAAGGGAGCCTTTACTTGGAATGCTGAAGTAGAAAAAGCTTTTAAGCAACTGAAGCAAACTATGTGTGAAGCTCCTGTACTTGCTCTCCAAAATTTCAACAAAACATTTTGTTTGGAGACTGATGCAAGTCAAAAGGAATAGAGGTTGTTTTGACACAAGAGGGAAGACCATTAGCTTACTTGAGTAAGGCTTTGGGACCAAGGCATATGGAACTGTCCATTTATGAAAAGGAGTATATAGCCATACTCATGGTTGTATCTAAATGGAGACACTATCTAGAAAATGGTATTTTCATAATCAAAATAGATCATGAACCTTTGAAGCATTTATTGGAGCAGAAGTTAACCACTATCATCCAGAAAAAATGATTATCCAAATTGTTGGGATTGGATTATGCCATACATTATAGGAATGTCAAATTGAATGTAGTTGCAGATGCTTTATCCAAAATATTTGAATAAGAGAAGGATGTGGGAAAATTTGAAGAAAATGTGGAGTGTTTTCAAATGACTACTATTGTGTTGGTTCCTAAATAGGTGAAAGAAATTAAGGACAATTACAATGGATATGCTTTAGCTCATAAATTCATTACAGGCTCAATCATTGACTCTAATAAAGAGCATGATTGGAAGTTAGTTAAAGGGGTGCTAAGGTATAGGAATCGAGTCTACATTGGGGAACATGGAAATTTAAGGAAGAAAATACTAGAATGCTTGCATGATTCCCCTCAAGGAGGACATTTTGGAGTACAAGCAACATACCACAGAATCAAACCTTATTTCTACTGGAAAGGTTTGAAAAGTCAAGTGAATACTTATGTGAAGGAGTGTGAAGTATGCCAAAGAACAAAAAGGGAGAATGTAGCAATTCCAGGTCTGTTACAACCTATTGTTATTCCTAATTAGACATAGGAAGTTATTACCATGGATTTCATTGAAGGACTGCCACAGTCAATGAAATCCAATTGCATATTGGTAATAGTGGATAAGTACTCCAAATATGGTCCTTTCTAAGCCATATCACATCCTCGTACAGTAACCGAAATAGCTATGACCTATTTAGAACAAGTTTATAAATTGTATGGACCTCCCAAGATAGTTATATCTGACAGGGACAAAAATTTACAAGCTTATTCTGGAAAGAATTGATGAGGCAGCTTGGAACTACAACTCTTTTCAGTACAGGTTACCATCCAGAGACAGATGGGCAGACTGAAAGGTTGAACCAGTGTTTGGAACAATACTTGAGAAGTATGTGTTTCCTTAAACCTGGTAATTGGGGAAAATGATTACCATTGGCTGAATGGTGGTATAATATTAACTATCATACAACCCTAGGAATTACACCTTTTAAAGCATTGTATGGATAGAAGCCTCCTATGATTAATTGGTCGAATGACGCTAGTGTCAATGCAGTACATGAGATGATGGTTGAAAGGGAACAACTACAGAGATTACTTAAAGAGAACCTAGCTAAGGCTCAAAATCGTATGAAACAAAATGCAGATAAGCATAGAAGTGACAGAGAATTTCAAGAATGAGAGGATGTTTACCTCAAATTGCAGCCCTACAAGAAGTCTTCAGTAGCTGTTAGAAAAAATCTGAAGCTAGCAGCGAAATATTATGGACCTTACAAAATCAAGAAAAGAATCGAGTCAGTAACGTATCAATTGGAATTGCCAACACATTCTAAAATTCACCCTGTTTTTCATGTAAGCTTATTGAAGAAGAATGTGGGTGAATGAGCAATTACCTCGAAGAATCCTCCTGAACTTAGTGATGATGGACAGATGAAAGTATATATGGTCATTATGCTTAACAAATGAATAGTGAAGCGACAAAACAAGGCAGTTACACAATTACTGATACAGTGGTCGAACTTGGGAGCTGAAAACGCAACTTGGGAAGATTATACTGTGTTGAAGTCTCAATTACCAGATTTTGATCCTTGGGGACAAGGATCAGGTGAAGGGGAAGGAAATGTTATGAACGTGAAAGGAAAGTGAGAAATTTTAGGGATTTCTGTCAAAGAGTTAGGGATTGCGTATGAACAATTGGGGAAAATGCAAACTTACCTGGTGCAGGAGACCCGAGCTATTAACCTGGAGCAGAAGATCCACGCTGAGATACCAACAAGAGAACGGGTTGGATTTGCTAAGGAACAACCCAACATGGAAATGACCCACAAAATTGGGCTTGCTGATGAATAGCCCAACACGTGAAGAAAATGTGAAATTCAGTTATTGACTGCCAGCTATACAGAATAATTCTGTTAGATTTTTTGTATTGAAGAATACAGGGAACAACTTGTAATGGAAAAATATGTTCTGGCAATTTAATGAAAAAAGCATTTCTTTCTCTTAAATCTACTCTTCAATTTTCTAAAAAATCCCCAATTTCTTCTTGAATTAATTACTGACCATAACAAAACCCTAATTTCCCCTCAAAATTTTTAACTGAAAAGTTAAAAGTATCAATACAGTAATATTAATTATTATTTAAAAATATATTATTTTAAGTTTCTAACTAATTTAGATCATGTTAACTGTTTTTCCCATTGAAGTTTCAAAAGTGACAAATTGATCATTAAAGTTATCGATTTGTAACAAATTGATCACTTAATGTTAACAACCATTAACTTGCGTGACGAAAAGCTGAGTTGGACTGTTAACCATTCACTACAGCAAAATTGTTCTGTAGCGGTGTTTTTAGCGGTGTTTAGAGAGTAAATGCCACAAAATTTAAACATATAGCGGTGTTTACAATCCAAATGCCACAAAATGATACTTTAGCGGCGTTTTAGAGTAAACGCCACAAAATTTAAACATATAGAGGCGTTTACAATTCAAACGCCATAAAATGATACTTTAGCAGTGTTTTAAGTATAAACGCTGCTAAAACTCGTACTTTAGTGGCATTTTAAGCAAAAACACTGCTAAATACTCATACTTTAGAGGTATTTTTCTATAAAAGCAGCTAAAGACTCATACTTTAGTGGCATTTTAAGCACAAACGCCACTAAAGTACTACCCTATCGCGGTGTTTATATAAAAATGCCACTAAATATGAGTCTTTAGCGGCGTTTGTGCTTAAAACGCCACTAAATTACGAGTCTTTAGCGGCGTTTGTAGAAAAACGCCTCTAAAGTATGAGTATTTAGCAGAATTTTTTATTAAAAACGCCACTAAAGTAACATGATATTAAGTTTTTAAAAATTCAAAGAAACACTTCAGCCTCCTCTCAAACGCGCCACTCTCTCTCTGTGTACTTTTTTTATATATTCTTCGTCCTTTTCTTTCATTTTCTCTCTGTCTCTCTTCAAATTTCAAAGTATATCTTCTCTCAGATCTATTTCTTCATCACCATCTCTTCCTATTATTTCCCTCACTGTAAGGTTCCGTCATTTCTTTCCAATTTTTTATCCCTTTGTTGACTTCATATGTTTAGATTTGATTGTAATTTTGAAGTTCACCAACGCGACAAGTTTACAATTTCTAACCCTTTTTCATTTTTATTATGGTTACTTACAATTTTGGTGCCTAAATCGGAGACTGAAGAAAATCCCTTTTCACCAAATTTCATTCCTCCCCCAGTAAAACAAAACAGTGAGAACAAATCTCACTGTTTTAGGAATCTGATAGACGGATCAAGCATTATGACGTCCACAGTTATCGACCAGTTATACGAGTTCTCGATGCCATGTTTCTTTGATTTCATGAAAGGAGAATTGGAAGATGAAGCACGTAATACCGAGCACTGGTTCGAAACCTCCTTGAGTTACGTTCCTTCCTGTATGTTCTCTCTTTTTCTCTCTCTTACTATTTTCTCTGTAATAGTATCGTTTTGATCTGTGATTCTTGGTTTTTCTTGGTATTGTTAGGGTTTTGATTTAGTCATTACTTTACTTTGTATTTTAACCTGATTGATTTTAATTGTTTGTTATTGAATTATATTCTAAAAATTATAGGACTCGTGGTTCTCTTAATTGCTTAGATCTGATACGGAAAGAAAAAAAATTGTGATGTAATTAAGCTTCACCGAATTAAGATAGTTTTCAGGGATATTGGGATATAAATCTAATCAACAATTTACCTGCTACCAAGTAAAATTGTTGCATTTTTATCAATGAGAAAATTGGAGATTTTTAATTTCCTTTTGGTATTTTTCATAATGCAACTTTTGAAAAAGAATTGTTGTTTTTTCCAACATTAATCGAGTTCTGTATGAATACTTTGGTTCTCATAATTGTGTCTTTGATTCGATTATGTTGGATTTTCAGTGCCCTAAATTAAAAATCACGTTTAAATGTTCCCGATGATGAAGAGAAAAGCAAATGTATTGTGCAAGTAGAAGTTGAAGCTTGCACCCCTAAACTATTGATGATTTCTCAGAAAAAAACTAGTGAGTGATAAGAAACATCAAACGGTTAAAAAGATATCTAGAATGATACAGAACCCCTCGGTGTTGAAGATGAAAACCGACAATGTTGGAACTCCTAATATGGCTCTAGAAAACCAAACCATCAAACGACAGAAACTAGATGGAGAAAGATCTAGACAGGTGTTTTTATGCTCTTCTCCTCAGCATGTTTTAGGTTCTGTGATTTGTAACTTTGATATGAAGTTTTGTCTCTTTGTTGCTTCCCTTTGTACCTTAGATTTTGAAGTTTTGTCTCTTTGTTGTTTCCTTTTTCATCACTCGCAGATAAAGCTGGTAAATTTGTCTACTTCAACAATCCTATTTGGCCTGGTGAGTTTTTATTTATTTTGTAATTTATATATGTTTGAAATTCTTTAAAGTATATTTATTCTTTACCTTCTCCTTGTGCTAGAGTCCCATTTTTCCTTTTATAATTTATCGTAGTAACTCTAGCTCCGATACCGATTTCGCTTTCTCTTTCAACGATAGTAATTTTTCCTTTGTTCATCTTAATTTTTTCTTTAGGGATCCATTGAAATTATTGGCAGGGTTCAGGATATTTTAAGTGTGACCCTACATGTCCAATAAATGGGTTACAGATGGAGGAAAGCTAGCTTCATCATCAAGTATCTCTACCCCTACATGGCCTTCAAGCCTATATACATACATACATACATCTTCTTTCGGGTAACCTCACTGGTTGAGCTTTTAGAAAGAAACAGTATGCATGCAGAGCACTGAAACATGTTCGAGCAGCCTTGGTTTATAACCCTTACTGCATGAATTAAGAATCATGCTTATTGATGGTGCAATCATGTAGTAATTAGCTGTCACCTGAATGCTGCATTCTGCATAAAGTGATGTTAGATAATTTTTTAGTAAATTTAAAAATTGTCCATCTTATTTTTTAACCATCTATTCTATTGTTAGCAAGTAAAAATATTATAAATTCTAAGCTTCTAAATCATTCTAAAAACACACTCCTTATCCCCTCTTGAATTTATTAAGTATTCATGTCGAGAACTTTCATTCCTATACGATAAGAGAGATGAAATATGTTACTTCCAGAGATGCTATGGTTTTTAGCATGTTATAGGGATACGAAGTCTTGAAAGATGATAGATTTTACAAATCGAAATGTCTAGATTTTGAAAACTTACAAGTTAGCTCTGTATTTTAGTTTCAATTGCTGATCAACTGCCTTATGTAACTAAATCATTTTTCGTTTTGGATTTTGTGGAACTTATTTGCTATGATCTTTCTATTAATTTATATTCTTGTCAATGGTTTATGAATGTAGATTTCTTCGGTGTTGCCAGAGATTTTTGGTTTTAAACTTGTTATAGGAATAAAAAAATCTTGAAAGACAATAGATTTTATAAAACCTGAATGTCTAGATTTTCAAACGTATTATGTGTCGCTATACAGGTTGTGGTTTCTGGTACAAAACAGTTGAGGAACCTTCTTTTCACATATACCTATGTCTTAGGTTCGCTTCAATATCTCATAGTTTTACATATTATGCGGATGAGTCGCATTTTATCTTCTTGGACAATAATTCTAAAAAATATATAAATGAGATATAGATGTAATTTAGCTTAATTTGATTCTAACAGGACCTTTGCATTTATGTTGTGTTACTGTACTATTTTCTGTCATGTAATTTCTGTATTTTGCTTGAGCAGCTACTTGTAATATTTGTTAGGTACTTGCAGCATTCTTTACAATTTTTGCAAGCTCAATGTGTACGAGATAATTCTTTACATTTTATGATAAAGATGCTGTTAACTTATGTGTTCAGGACAACAAAGTGTGGTCTATCAGTTATTCTATAGAATGATACTTGGACAGAGCTTTAGTTGGGATGCCATTATTGAATTTCTGGTCAAAGTCTCACTTGGAGCGTAAGTATCCTTCATTTTCAACAACTATGACAGGGGTAAAGATGTGTAACAAATAAATAATTAAAGGGAACTTTATTACAGGCAAGTCCTCTTTGAGAAACTAGACCTTGCATGCCTTCAAGCTTGAAACTAATCAACCACTCATTCTGTCACAACCAATTTTAGAAATTATATCTGATTATAAGGCTCTTGTCGGTGTCAGTGTGGGCAGCGGTGAGCGTAGTCCAGAAGGTTGCAAGAGATCATCCTTCGCTTATGCTTTCCATTAAGAAATGTCCAATAACTTTGAAAATGGTTGCAGACAAAGAAAAATGGGAGGAGTTGTAGAAGTTGAATCTCCAAGAAAATTTGGAATGGCTTTTAGGTCAGGAATCCAGCCAAATGGCATTTATAACTTGTATTATATGGATACTAATTTATTTTTCTTTCAATATGTGGACTTGAACTCAATATTTTCGAAGTAATGAACATCAAAGCTACATTACATTTAATTTTAATGTTTATAAATTTTAATTTATTTTGTTGTTAAAATTTATGGTTGTTGTTAATTATATAAAGTTACATGATATTAAATTTAGGTGATGTATAGCAAAAATGAAATATGCAAAATATCAATTAATCTTAGCTAAAGAATGGTAACTAGCAGCGTTTGTATTAAAAAACGCCGCTATATATCTGACCTTTTGCGGTATTTGTACCCAAAAACACCGCTAAATATCTAACCTTTTGCGGCGTTTGTTCCAAAAACCCCGCTAAATATCTAAACTTTTGCGGCGTTTATTCCAAAAATGCCGCTATAGATATCGACCTTTTGCGGCGTTTGTTCCATAAACGCCGCTATAGATCTTGACCTTTTGCGACGTTTGTTCTAAAAACGCCGCTATAGATATCAACCTTTTGCAGCGTTTGTTCCAAAAACGTCGCAAAAGATCTTGAACTATGGCGGCGTTTTTGGTTCTCAAACGCCGCTAACTTTAGCGGCGCTTCTTGTGGCGTTTTTCGAATCACCGCAAGCGCTTTTAGCGGCGCTTAAAAATGCCGCTATAGGACTAAAAACGTCGTTAAAACCCTATTTTACTATAGTGGCTTACCTAGCTCGTTGACCGATCAACTCTTCAACTTTAAATAAAACCTAATTTTATTTTATTCATTTTTATTTTAACCTATTGCTTCCACGCCATTACTGTACTTAAACCCATCTCCAAGCTCCTAAACGCCGTGGCCATTCTCTCATCTTCAAACTCCATCGTCTGCTCTCCTCTACTACTGCATCGCTTCTCTTCATTGATTAGACGATAATATCCACATTTATCCATTCAATTTCCAAATTTATTTCAGGCAGAATGTATAGGGACCTTGTTGGGAGTGATTATTACGCTGCACCAGAGGTGTTAAACCGGAGATATGGCAAGGAGATAGATGTGTGGAGCATTGGTGTCATTTTATACGTTCTTCTTTGTGGAGTGACTCCATCTCACAGAGGTATGCACATGAAAATTGAAAACAATTATTAGAACATTTAGATTTAGATGATTCTTGATAAAAGTCCCATCACCTCTTCAAATGTGTAGAGACTGAGAAACAAATCTTCAAAGCAGTTTTAGAACGTAATTTTGACTTAAAAAGCCAAGCATGGCCATCTATATCTAAAGATGCAAAGGTCCTCATTAGGAAAATGTTAGCCAGGGACCCTAAGCAACTGAATATAGATGCTAAATCTCTAGGTAAAATATTATGTTTATGGAGATCATATTAGGCACAACCAGGTTTCAAATAGCGGACCGAAAACGTGATAGCGGTCGTGATTTTGCAGTAGCACCGCCGTCCAAAACCGGTATTGATGATTTTTGTGGTGGGTAACGGATTCACACCAATAGCAGTATGTCGCGGCTGTAATTTAGCGTTTAATGGTAAATAGCGTCGATAACGGGACTCTGTTCCTATTATTCAACCATGACTTCAAAAAAAAAAGAACGACTGAAACAGGGGAGGAGACGAGGAGTTAACAACCGGAGAAAAATAAAACCCCTGCCTCAGAAGAGTAAGGATGGAAATGAGACAATAATTGAGAGTTGAGAACGAAGAATATGAACCTGAGAAAGTGAGAAGAACCAGAAGCGAGGTAAAGAGAAGAGAAGAAGAAGCAGCCATAAATGATCTAATATTTCTCTCTTTCTCGTTATAAATGCAAAGCTCTTACTCTTCTCAAGGGTTTATTAATCATCACTTAACTTTCTAATCTCTTATATTTTACTCACTGAACTTTAAAATTTTTCAATTTACTCATTAAACTTTCAGATTGTTACTATTTTGGTCACTCCTTAACATTATAATTATAATTATTATGTTTTAGAGTAAATTATACAAAATTTAAAAAAATTACGACCGCGACACCCGCAGTGACCGCGATAATATCTGTTATATCCGCAACCGCAATAAACACGACGCGACCGCGAACAATATTTAAATCCCTGGGCACAACCATTCAGGATAAAAAGGGAAGATTTCAAATGTTTCCATTTTGTGTATATGAACCAGACACAATCCAAAGAGAACAAAATAAGACGATGGAAAATCATAGCAAAGGTGGTCATGGCTCGAGCTTCTATTGTCGCTAAATTCCTTTGCTTTCTACACGTCACCGACTCTTACGTACTATCGTTCAACCATGTTCTGAGCCCCGGTATGCTCCCAACGTTAAGCATAACCGGCGACATCGTACTTGTCATTATTGAAAACTTGTCTCATCAGTTAGGGAATTGGGTTCGCGTGATTTGGTCCTCGTTTGATCGCCGCTAGATCGAAAAGAGACCATGACTAAGCGCATTATAGCCATGGAAGGTGATAAAGTTACCTTCTCGTTATATCACACTCGGAGCCACACCTCTCGTTCTCTTGTGGTTCCAATGGGGCATGTTCGGATTTAAGGGGAAACTAGCAGCTTTGATTTATTGGGTCAATGAGAAACCAAGGTATATAGTTTGTTGTTCATGCTTTTAAAATACAGACATGAGATAACATTCGATTGACCAGTGAAAGAAAAACTTCATTCCAATCTATGGAGAACGGTCTTTCCTGGTGCTAGTTTCAAATGATGTTGATCATTGTATTGGTCAAATCTTAATGCCTGGATCAATAGCTCAATCAAATTTTATACCAATTTAACAGTCAAAAAAGGAACCAGACACAATCCACTAGCACTTATTAATTGTTTTGACTTCAAGAGACCTGTTCTATGCCCTCGGATATTACAGTCTTGTCAATGAAGAGAAGTGATGCAATGGTAGTGGAGAGCAGGCGATGGAGTTTGAAGAGGAAAGATTAGCCATGGTGTTTCGGAGCTTGAAGATGGGTTTAAGTGCAGCAATGGCGTAAGCAGTAGGTTAAAATAAAAATGAATAAAATAAGATTGGGTTTTTATTTAAAGTTGAAAAGTTGACTGGTCAACGAGCCAGGTAAGTAGGTAACAGTCTAACTCAAGCTTTCAGTCTCCCAATTAATGGCCGTTAATGTTAAGTGATCAATTTGCTATAAATCGATAACGTTAGTGATCAATTTGTTACTTTTGAAATTTCAATGAAAAAAATAAAAATTTACTTAAACATTAGTGATCATTTGTGTAGATTACCAGATTTTTCTCTAAGTGGAGCCCTCAAGGTTTCCCAGGGATTTTATGACTAGACTTTTGTCGATTTTGATAGGCATAATATTAAAATAGATGTCCAAACTATATTACATTTTTTAATAGGTGCTTAAATAATTTTTTTACCTATAAAGGTGTCTAACGTTATAAATGTTGATCATTTTGGTGTTCGGATCGTCAATGACGTTAATTTCTCCATTAAGTGACATGTGTCACAATTTGATGATCTTAAAAAATTTATTTAAAATTTAAAAAAATTAAAATTATATATATATTTTAAAGAAAAATATAAATATTTTGAAATAACCCCACAAACTTTGAAAACTTCATTTCAACCATTTAAACCCATGCTAGTCTCGTCCTTTGCCGTCGACGAAGCTCTGCCCGACCTCATCTCCCTCAGCGACCAAAACCCATGAAATTGTGACCGATCAACGATACCCGTGAATCCTAAGATGAAAATTGATATCCCACGTGATCTTGATGATCAATTGATGACAACTATGATAGCGTATGACTATGAGGATTGTAGGGACTACGTCGATAACAATGGTTGTGGCCAGAAAAGGAGGCGGGGGTTAAAGATAGGATTTGAGAATTTGGTATTTCATGGTTTTTTTATAATTTAAGAGAAATTATGTTTTTTACAAATATAATAATATTTTAAAAAATAAATTTCAAAATTACGAGATTGTGACACGTACCACTTAACAGAGGAAAATTAACTTCATTGACAGTCCGACACCTGAATGGGTAATGTTTGTAACGTTAGGCACCTGGATAGGTCAAAAATATAGTTTAGACACCTAATCGAGAATTTAGGTATGGTTTAGGCACTTATTTTGATATTAAGCCATTTTGATAATAAAAGATCAAATTAAATTGAATAGGTTTATAAATTAATAGTAGATGGTAAAGTATACAAATGATTCTATATGTTGTTTTGTTAAAATTTTAAATTATTAAAAGTTATAAAATGGTACAACAATTATAGGATATAATTTTGTTAAGTCTCTCAACTATTAAAAGTTATAAAATAGTCACATGATTATTCATTTGTTCCAAAGTCATCCTTTTTTGTTAAAAAATTTATTGTACGTTAATTTGTTTACTAGAATATGATAAAATCCAATCTCATAATCGTTTTGAGTTGTTTTTTATAGATTGAATCTTTTTTTATATTATGTCATTGAATTAATGTTTAAAATATTATATCGTCGAGCTAGTGTTTGAATGTAACGACGGTGTCAATAGACGTGATTAAAATTTTATTTTATCCTAACCATGTCAGCAAGTTGACGTCCAACTGAGACGAACATAAATTTTTCAAACATAAAAGGATAAATTTAGAAAATATGAATAGTCAAATGATCATTTTATAATTTTTAATAGTTGATGGACACAACAAAATAGTACCCTATATTAAAAAGATCATTTTGTAACTTTTAATAATTGACTCAATAAATTAACACCATGTGATCGAAGGATCCTAATTTTAAAAGTCAGTAATTGTTAATAATAAAAGCTTATGATACTCTTCTCCATTCAAATAAATCCATTAAATTAATATAATGATGGAATTTAAGAAAATTTTAAATTTTTATATACTTTAAATATTTATTTTATATTTTTTTTATTAATAATTTTATTTTCATTTGTTAATTTTTATATTATTAATATAAAATCATACTTTCCTTTTGGTTTCCAATGATCCTTCTTAGATGTTGTATAGTATAATAATATAACATGTTATGATATTCAATTTTGTCTATTTTAGTATCTAAAATTTTAATTTTTTTGAAAACTATACCTAACGTTTAGTTTTTATTTTATATTAGTAACCATCGTTAAAAACTTAACGCGTTTAGTACCTAAACCATTAATTTTTGTCCATTTTAATACCTAAACTTTTAATCTTTTCAAAACTTAATGTTAAATTTTTGACGGGATACTAAAATGAAACAAAAATTGAAGTTTTTAACGGCGGGTACTAAAATGAAACTAAAACTAAACTTTAGGTATGATTTTGAAAAAATTAAAAGTTTAAATACTAAAACAGACTAAAATTGATAGTTTAGGTACTAAACCGTAATTTATCCTATAAGATAATATGTTATGATATCTACCACTGGCTTAAGAAATGCAAACATTTGACTATTTATTAGTCCTCCCAACATTGTAAAGACAACAATACTTTCCAAATTTAGTTTATTAAGAACCATAAGTCAATGGCAAAAGGCCTGTGTGTGTGTCGCTAATGATACTCAAAGACACCGGCATTAGTATCCGGAGTTATCGATCATCTCATCATCCGATACGAGCAGCGAGTGCAGTAAGGACTGCAAGCTGTTTGAACCAACAGCGTTCTTCGGAGAGCTAGGATTCATGTCATGGTTTTCAGCAATCAAAGCATCTGTTCTCTGCAAGTTGTCAGGATCAGTACTTTGTAGGGTAGAGTGGAAGTTACGATTTTTAGCTGCAACAGGATCGAATTTCGGGGTATCTTCTTTCGTAGTGACTGACTGGTACTTGGGATGAAGTACACTTCTCGCGATCATCTGTCATCGGAGTAACTTGATTAAAGGGAGCATTCACCATTTCTGAACTGGCTAAAATGTCGAGGTTCCTCTGAACACTTCCTTCGGATTTCGCGACTGATGTTTTGCTTGAAACTAGCAACAATAAGCTGATAAACGACCAAATGATTGTCCAAACTTCCAATCAGAAAATCAATATAGTGCTGCAATCACTATTTTTAAGCCAAAAACAATAACTTGACCGACAGGTAAACTCAATAAGGTTTATCTAATGAACTGATAATCCAAGATCAAGTGAATGAAGAACAGCACTGCAAAGACAAACATCTATCTATATCGATAAGACCCCAGTAAAATCGTTGAGAGAACTATAGGATCGTACTTGGATGGGTCTGGGGCCGGCTGCAATTAGTGGACCTTCAACACTTCCACCGAATACTCGTCCATGAGAATTAGCTAACAAAACAACTCAACATACCGGTTTTGCGATGAGTTCCCAGTTCACCAGACACAACAGAAGAACCAGTGAGAGTAAGAATTTCAAACCGCCCATGCAATATGAATTTACAGTCTCAGCCATTCTTGTTGAATGCCAATTCAGAAACAGAAAATTCATGCTTTGGATCATATATTTATATGTATATGTATATATCATGTATTGTAATTAGATAAGTCAAAGATTAATCGAACGATCGACCAAGCCTCATATATCAAAGTTCCAGCAGAGGAACCAGGAGCACATAGGGTGACACGAAACAGCACCACTAGCAGTAAGAACACAAACCGAACAACAAGCGCTTGAACAAAATGATACAATCTTATTAACAAGATCCTGTGTCACCAAAACAAAACTTAGAACAACTTCTTGCAGAGAAGATTACCTGAAAACTTGGAAAGACAAAAATTAGGATGTACACAAAAAAGTCAAGTTATAATTGACCTCCTTTGTATTATTCAATTGTTAATGAAGCCAAGTACTTAATGAAGGATCCTTATAGTTGATGTGGCTTCCTACAGTCGAGAAAGACCGTTGTTTGTGGCTCCTAATGGCTTATGTGTGTTGTGCAGAACTGAGATAGAGTCAAGAAATCATCTTTTTTTAGTGTGCGCTTTCTCGACTGTTATTTGGGTGGCAGTACTGGCCTTTCGCATTCTCCGTAGGATGTAGGAGATGGTATGGGTGACTGCAATAGTGTGGGCAATATTATTAGGAATGAAAATGAGCTTTTGTTCTATTAAAGAGGTTGTACATGCAAATTTTGGACAACAATAGCTTGCATATATTAATTTAGTAAACGTTCAATACAATCTGATTCTCAGAACTTACATGTGTAAATCCATAGGAAGGCACAAACAAGGACAATATGACTCCTCTAAAACATGAAAGAAACAAGAGACCTATTTGCTTATATGATGCCACCAACCCTAAACATTAGGCTATACACTCTATTAACATCTAAGCCCCCACACCAGGGAGGGCTCAGCCTCACAGTTTCAGTATGTATTCCTCAACCATCCTATTAATTTATGTCAAGAAGACCTGTTTATAAGCTTCATGTCACCTACAATCCTACAACACATGAAATCTTGACCATTCATGAAAATATATGCCACCATTTGCAACGCTAATCAACCCCCACAAATCATGAATGATCAAGATTTCATAATTTCCAAAGCGTAATACCAAAACTGTAGGTGATATGAATCATTCTTTCTTTCTTTTCACGCTTTCCAAAAACTATATTTCCTATACAACACAAAACAATCTTTCTTTTTCTTTGTTTCTTCTTTGGAATGACTTGAAATTGCACTAACCCACACACTGTTTCTGTTTCGAGCTTTAGTCGATGTTGGTTTCGACTTGTCAACTATCAAAACAAGGAGAAACTTTTCCGATGCCTGGAATTACGGGAAGAACAAGCTTGCTCAACTGATGGTCTAGGAGTTGGTCCCGTGCTCCCGACGACATCCATTTGAGCATCTGAGGATTTTGCACTGAGCTTGCATCCGAATTTCCGGGCAACCATGCGGGGTGAACTCAATGAGCTGTTTGATTTTGTCACCCTTTTCATTTCTTGCTTTATTTTACTGATTTCCTCTTCAAGCTCTCCAACTCTAGACCTCATCTTCTCCATATCCACCTTCAGAACTCGATTTTCACGTACAACCGTTACCCATCCATCTCTTTGCACAATCTGGCCAGCCATCTCACTAGTGGCAGTCACGTTACCGGCTATCTCTGTTGGGGCAATCCCTTGGCCTGTAGGAGCACTTTCAGCTTCCAACACATTGAGACAGCCAGCTAAAGCCGTTCTTAAATGCATCTGCTCGAAGAACAAGACTTGCAGAATTACTCTTAACGGCAGTCTTTCGTTTTGGGATGCATGGGCACAAGCATCAACAGAGAGTTTCTGGTAGTCGATGATATTGCAGAGTTCTTCCTTCTCTCTATCAGAAAGCCAAGGGTGTGCCTGCAATATGAAATTATTGATTACGAACCTTGAAACAAATAAACTCCTTCGAAATAGAAGTTGGTTCAGCAAATTTAAACCTTGAAATAAATGTCCAGTGCTCTGTATAACCCATCATGCAAAGGTCTTGAAGATTCGGGAAGGACCTCTGCAAGAGACCTTATTTTTCCAGGTTTCAAATTTACATCAGAAGCAACCTCTGCAAGATAGCTATCTATTAATCTGGCAACTTTCCTTAAGGGCTCGGATGATGGTGATGGTTCTAGGTCTAACGATGGTGGTGAAAATAATGTTAAACCCGATTCTGAGGACACAAAATGACGGATGATCCGTTCAACACAATCAGTATTGTATAATGTATCGGAATCCGAGTAAGAAGGAATCAAAAGACCATCTAGGCTAGCCAGTTCCAGCTGCATTCCGATTCTCCTCTCCAAAGAGTCCTGGCATGTTTGACCAACACCTAATATTGATGCAACACGAAGAAGTCCGAGTAAAAAACGGCAGAAGGACTTGCCCTTTTTTTTAGGGAGAAGCTTTTCGATGCTTTCCAATAAAACCTTCTGATCAACAGAGGCAGGAGTCAGACTAAAACTTGCGACTGTCCTGGCTTTGCTACCCTGTGTACTCTGCCATCGGCCAAGGCCCGGTAGATACTTTCTTGCATAGTACATTATGGCACCTGCTAGAAGTTCACATCTTATACCCCTTGCTTCCATTGTTTTAATAAGCCTTTCAAATAATTCTACACTGAAATACGAGATGTCTTCAAACCACCAGTCAGATTCTGCGCTTCGTATTCTCGCTCCAGTGTTTATTCCATTCCATAGAATACTTCCACCAGGGCTCTGGAGGCTACCGTACATCATCATGGGCCAACCGAACAAGCTAGGATCTGTACAAACCATCATAGACACAGCATTTAAACATTTTTGCAATATGTGGAGCTTTTCTACCCTTGGCATGAAAGATTCGCAACTTTGTAAAGTCAATATAGAGTCCTTCCAGTTTCGAAGTACATTTTTGTGGAAGAAGTTTTCAGCCCTGGAAAGTAAATTATCTTCACCAAACTCATCCGTCATCTCGAGGTAGTCAGCAGCACAGTACCCCTTCATTATATTTCTTGCTGTAAATTCCACCCGAATGCCGTAGCAGAATTTTACCGCAAAAAAGAAAGTGTCCGGGCCACCAGGGAATTCTTCAAGCTTTGTGGTAAAAGTCTTATCATGGGCGGTACTCTTTAGTTCTTCAAAGATGGACGTGATCTTCCCACATTTTGACATGAGAGGAAACTGCAGTCATACATGATCATAATTCATAAAGCATAACATTTCATTTTGATCTTTAGACCTTGGTGCAAATGCAATAATAAAAGAGGAAAAAGCAAGTTTATGCCAATTGCATGGACTAAAACAATATGAAAATATAGAGCCGACATAGAAACCACGCCAAGAAGCATAACTGGTAACATGGTTAATCGTTAACACGAAGAAGCTACTTTATGCGATCTAGAATGCAAGGAAGTTGCCTCAATTGCAGGGTTAAATCATCAGAAATGATCCCAGAAAAGATGAGAAACTTCTTTTCTTTTCGTAAAACGACACATTATAGAGCAAAACACTGCAAGAGGTTGTCTGATCTAAATTCAATTCCAGTTTAAGTCAATCTCTTTCTTCTTCTTCTTCTTCTTCTTTTCATTCAATATTATACAAAACTATGCTCCTCTATCTGCATATAGTTCATAATTATCATGCCAAAACAATGATAAAATGCCTCTATATGATCACAGTAAGTACAGAAAACAACTATCATTCTTTTTTTATCAAAAAGTATCTCAGATGAGTGTGGAAACTGAAATTGACTTACCTTGTGAAGATGAAACTTCACATCATCTACAACAACGGTTAAATCATTTGGCAATCCTGCATTGAAAACCCTGCAAACCCCCCATAAAAGCTAAATCATTAACCTAATTGAATAATTTTAATTTATAGCCCCAACCTGATGTCTTTATCCCATGAATCCAAACTTAAAAAAAAAGAACAATAATTTGATCAAAAGATACAGAGCTTATAACTTTCTTCAATTTTCTCCCAGAATTGAACAAAAACAAGACAATCCAGAAACGAAAACAGAAGAAAGAAGTGCAAACAAACTTCAATTACGATATGAATCAGAGAGATAAACTGTAGGAAAGTTAAGGGTTAGAGCTTACCAGTCATCTCCATGTTTATAAAACCCAGAAACCTTGGCAGGTGCCATGACTGAGAGAGAAAGGGAAAGACCCCCAAACTTTGAATTGGGATCTTATAAAAAAATAACCCAGATATCAAAATTTTAAAAAGAAAAGCAAATGGGCATAATTCTTCATAAAAAATTTTAAAATTTCTTAAAAACAAAGAAAGAAGGGGACAAAAGGCTAAATGGGGGGCGTGCGGGCAACAGTGGAACTTTACAGCTAAGAAAACAGAACTCCAGGTGCCATGTCTTCCTCTAACAAAAGCTCCATTTCCATGCTCATTTCATGGACCATAATATTACTGCTAATAAGAACAGTATATACAATGCAGGGAATAAACATATTAAATGTTAGAGAAGAAAAGCATGCACAGATGACGACAGAGAAACAACCAGGCAGGGGGGGTATATGTAATCTGGCATTACTAAGTGAAAAACCCTCATTAAAAAATGAAAAAAAAAAGTGGGTCAAAGTGAATTAAAAAAAGGGGGGGGTAAAACAAGGAGAGGGAAACAAAAGGAACTGATGGGGAAACTTTAGACGGGCATTCCAAGGAGGACGAAGAAGCAAGGGGACAAGGCAAATGATAAGTGAGGAAAGTTGTAAGTATGTAAGGTTTTATGTCTGTCAGGCTTTTCCCATTTAATACTTCTCCGCCTCCATATCATCATCATAAACGCGTGGTGAGTTTATTAGTGGTGATTTTTTTTTCTTCTCCCTACCTCGTTCTGTTTTCTTTTTTCAATTTGGTTCAAATTCAAATGTTTTATTGTACATAAATTTTTGGATAAACTATTTGTTTAGTACTTAAATTATCAGTTTTAGTTTGTTTTAGAACTTAAACTTTCATTTTTTGCAAAATCATGTCTAATATTTAATTTTTGTTTCATGTTAGTATTTCGCCATTAAAAACTTAACGAACGGGCTGACGTGACACAACTTTGGTGGGCGGATGACTAATCTTTTATCTGAACGCTGAACCATGAGAGAATAACGTGTAGACCAAAACAGTACAATTTCAAGCTCATTAGACGATGGACCACTGAGACTGGAGGATGAAATTAAAAGAGTCACTACTAGAAAAAACTCCTTTAATGACGCTCATTGCGCGTCATCTATGGGTGCAGATGACACACAAATACTCGTCATTGAAGTCACCGACATAAATCTCAAATGACACGCAATTGTGTGTAATAAATCTATGACGCGTGTTTATAACACACATTTATGACGCTCATTTATGACGCGCATTGAGCGTCATTGAAGCCCCCGTCATAAATGAAGATGACACACATTTGTATGTCATAAATTTATGACACGCATGTATGACTTACATTGCGTGTCATCGAAACACATGTCATTAAAAAGATGACACACATTTGTGTGTCGTGATTGTATTTCGTAAATTATATATATATATATATATATATTATAGATTGACAAATAACCAAACTAAATCACATTTAATGCCTCGTAATACTAAATATATATATCATATTATATATAAGCAATCCATTTGCATACAATATATTCACATTAAGTTATCAAAAATATTGTAATCATATGTCGATACAAAATATCACAGCATAATAAAGTTATACTAATATGCCCTCGCCATCCAGGCGTGTACACAAGAAATCATCATCAAATTCTACTAAAGGGGAGTCTTGTGAAAAATCAAAAGTATCATGGTATTCCAACATATCATCAGTTTCACCATTTTCTCCATACTTGTACATCTTATATGGTGTGAAGCCGACAACAGACAAATTCACACCTTGTCTACCTAGCAAAAAGAACACAACTTGAAAGATTCATTGCATACTATTAAGTCTGTTAACTAGTTAAGATTCTGCAGAACTTTGATAAGTTAGAGAACTATTAAGTGCAATACAATTATCCTAATTTTCAATTCATACCTTCTGCATATCTGATCCAATGAAGTGCTGTAATGATCAAACAGTAGCCAGATACCATACCCAAGCTTCCAGTGCTTCTACAACTTGTATTTCAGAAGATGCAAAAGAAGGTTGAAATGGTACAATTACGTCGGAAGGAACAATATTAGATTTCCCCTCTGAGAAGACAATATTAGAATCTCTGTGGTAAAATTGTCACTTTAATTGAAAAAAAATTTAACAGTTAAAACTAGTTTGCAATATAAAACAAACACATTCCTAATATGCACATTAAACTTCTGAAAACACCTTTCTTGGTTCAATATATTTATGCACAAACATGCACTCATGTTTCAACAAACTAAGTGACAGCTTACTTTTTGAAACTCTATCAGATTTTTCAGCAACTTTGTATTCTCAATTCCAATGGAGTTGAGGTTTCCTGATTCTAGTTGTTGCATCAACCATCAAGTGTGAGCCCGCAGGTAGCTGAAGAACTCCAGGAATCAATCTGCAATACAACGTGAAGTTATTTAGAAAAGAAAAAGCTGAAGGTTCCAAGCTGCTTTCTTAATGCTTGCATACATTAACTTCCCATAGTTGTAGGGATACATGTTTGTTTGATAATCTTTTTTGGGGAAAGAGAGGCAGTGTTTAGATATTCCAGTGTGAGAGGCATGCAATTAGTGAAAGGTAGCAAGTTTTTGAAGTTTGACTAAGTCGAGTGCCAAAAACATATGCACTTTCTTTGTTTAAACCTATTAGATTTAGTGACAGTTTCCCGACAGCAACATTGTCTACTCGAGTGTGAACCTGTTGATCAGTTTCGTATAATCAAAGATGGGAGTTGAAAGGAAGAGTTGAAAGGAAACATAGAATAATTTTACTTTAATGGGGAAGATTTAACAGACAGAATTCAAGTGAATAGGACAAGAAACTGCCACCAAGCATAATCTCAAGAAAATAAGATGATAGTTGTAGTGGAAAACATTACCTTGGACAGAAGATGCAACAACATGGAATGAGCAGATACGCCATCATTTCCGAGAACTGTTGTAAGATGCCCAGAGCTTCCCTTATCTCTTTCACCAAATGTGGCTTTGGCAGGAAGAACGAAGATTACAAGGAAGAAATATGAGAAGCATAACAGAAACCTCACTAGACAATAGAATTATTGAACTGAAAACTAGTCAGCCTAAGAAAGAAAAATACAGAGCAATCCATAAATCTCTCTTGTAGAGAACATGCTTTCTATTTCCACGAAAAAAAAGGTGAAAACATAGAAATTTAATCAAATTAAGAAACACTGTGAACATATAACTTTTGAAATTAATTTCGATGCAATGTTCAGATTAATGTGTGGCCTAAAACAAGCCGTTTGATTGCAAAACCCAATGTATACCATATGAGAATTCAAGGGTTAAGCCTACTGCACTTTATTAACTCATTCAAATACCAAGTTATATAATGATGGACTAGTTTTCATTTATAAATTTTGTATATGAATACAAGGTTTAAGATAAACTGGCGAAACCATATAATTTTGAACGAAAAACGGATTTAAACTTTTGTACTCACATTTTGCATAGATCTCATTTACTTTCTTGAAATCTTTCAAGTCAACTAGCCTGCACAAAGAAAACACAAGAACCAAATAAGATCTTATTGATTTTTTATTATAAAACCTTCTCAACATATAACAACAAAACAAAGCGAAAATCGTACATAATTGTTTGTCTTAACCACCGAGGAATCTTTCTTGAAATCTTTCAAGTCAACTAGCCTGCACAAAGAAAACACAAGAACCAAATAAGATCTTATTGATTTTTTATTATAAAACCTTCTCAACATATAACAAACAAAAACAGAAGCGAAAATCGTACATAATTGTTGTCTTAACCACCGAGGAATAGTCAGCACCACCATCTTTCAGTATTTCACCCATATTTTTTAGTACCTATATAATCACAAAGAAAATCCAGTCACTAGCATGCATTCAACTATAAAATTATGAAAAATTAGTTCACATAAAAGTAAGACACCTGCTCGGTTTGATCTTCTATAGTGTCTGAGATGAACTTTCTAGTCTAGAATAGAAAACCAATACAAATGATAAGCACAATGCATATATAACCAAAACCTAGGATCTATCTCACCTGAACTCTTCATTTTCCCTAAAATATACATATTCAACACATTTACTACGAGTCCAAGTAAAATATGCTAGGAATGCAAGCTTAACATGTGAAAAACATTTAATGAACATGCCACAAACCTCTGGAATAAGACCGAGAACACCAGAGACAAATAGAAGATTATTGGCCTTGATGGCCTGAGAATATGGTCCCAATGCTGCAGGAGCTTTTTCAGTCACCACAACCTCCTTAATCTCTACAATCAAAAACATAATCCCAATCCTTAGGTGCATCTAATAAACCCATAATGCCCTACTATTTAATTTTTCCTAACACAAACATGCTCATATCCACACTCACATTTGGTCCAACGAAATAAACCCTTTTAGAAGGACACGCCCATTTGCATATATTCGAATCATAGCATTAGCAAACCCTTAGCAATCATCATAGGCTATTGTCCAAAGGCTTCCAAACACAACAGAATAAAATTGCAACGAAATCAAATATAAATTCCCCAAATTTCTCTTACAAAAACGACTAACTGACAAACTATCAATTAACCACTATAAACCCAAGGCCAGATGTTTCACAAGTCACAACCCTAATCTTTCCTCTTCACGTTCACTTGATTGAAACCAACACTTTTTACGACTCGATTAAAACTAAAATGCAAAACCAAACGAATTAACCCATTTTCAAAAGCAATCTATCAAATCAAAATCAAACAGTAAAAAGAACCCCATTATTTTACTAATTTTTTTTGTTACCAGGAGAAGTGAAGAGGCTTAAGCAAGCAAAAGGAGAGTCGTTTCTTGAGGAGGCTCGCTGTAAGGAAGAGCCAACAACGCCTCCTTAATTTGTACGCAGATCAACAAAACAAATATTCGAATAACAAATATATAGCCAAAACAAAGAGGAAACTTACAAAACAAACAAAAAGAATAAGAAGAAGATGGTCGATTCGTCTGTTTAAAGTTGTAAATGCAACTAAACAGAAAACCAAAGAAAATAAATCGTACCGGCATTAGAGAACAAGAGAGTGGGATCATTATGAGGACGAGGCGGAGGGAAAGATGGTGGCGCGGTGGAAGAGACGGAGATCGTCGAGTTCATCGGAGGAGGAAATGGGCGGCAGAGGTTGGGGATTCATACTCGGGCCTAACAAGAAGAATAGAATCAGGATGAAAAGCAGGAGAGAAAAGGAGATAATGAAAGGAGTGGAAAACATTAGGCGTGAACTGATTATCGAGGGGGGAAGAAGCGGGAAAATAAAAATTATGGGGTAAATTAAAAAATGACTTTTAGAGTTGACACACAATTAAAAAGTGTACTCCGTATTTTTGCAATTTTTTTTTGAATTATAACTATTAAATATGACACGCATTATTGTAAGTCATAAATCGTTCAGATTTTAAGAAACATGACATTTTTTTATGACACATTTTTTGCAAGTCATAAATTAGTGTGTGTCATTGTTCGTATATCATTAAAGGTATATTTTCTTGTAGTGAGTTCATCATTGATTTGGGGAGATTAAGGCATTTCTCAGTGAAATGGAGATTGGAATCGTGTTCAGATGGTCAAAAAAGTGTGGGCTGGAAAGTTTGGGCTTCATTGACTGACGAATGCGACGGTAGATACGGCGACCACGAGTCGATCCATTAAGGTTTTAATGACAGGGTATAAAATGAAACAAAAAATAAATGTTATGCATAATTTTGAAAAAAAATGAAAGTTTAAATGCTAAAACTGATCAAAATTAATAGTTTATATACTAAACTCGTAATTTATACTAAAATTTTTGAATTACTTTTTTAAAATAATTATTTTGGATTTTACCGTTACCTTTGTTATTTAAAAGTACTTAAACTATTATATTTAATTATTTTAAGTTTTTATATTTTTTAGTCCGAAGATTATTTTTCAACCAATAAGATGTTGACACATCATACAAAATTAGATATTTGTTTTTATCAGAAAAATACTTTAGGGCTTAAAGCAAAAAAGGGTATAGTTTAAGGATTTGTTTTGACCAAAAAAATAGTTAAGATACTTAAAGTGGTTACATATAATAATTTAAGTACCTAGTTTAACCAAAAAATAATTTAGTTTCCTAAAAAAATAACATAGTTTATGTACGTTTTCTAGTTAAATACTTGTTTAAAATATTATAAGAAACTATTTAAAATATCATGAGCGAAGCATACGCATGCTTGCTACGAATCCCTCATGTCCTGCTTGTGGAGCTGCCTCAGAAACTGCACTCCATGTGCTTCGGGACTGTACTCGAAGCAGGAACCTGTGGATGCGTACTGTCCCCCCAAGCGCAGCTGCAAATTTCTTCATTGCTGATCTTCGACCATGGATTGTGCAGAACATAAATTCCCAGCTTTCTTTAGGTGTTGATGAACCCCTTGGCCCTCTTTCATTGCTGCGCTCTTATGGCAAATTTGGAAGCAAAGAAATGAGTTTGTCTTTAATGGCGTTATCTCTCAAGCTGATTCGGTCATTCATCGTAGCTATTGCTGGGCAAAGTGTTATGATAATCACTATCGAGTTTCTGCAGGTTCTTTGAGATCACTGGTTGATAGCCGACCTGGTCGTGTCCCCGCAAGGATTGCTCTGTTTAAATACGGATGGCTCGGTGGTGGGCCCCGATGAATGTGGTTCGATAGGAGGAGTGCTTCGTAACTCTAATGGCGAATGGATAACAGGTTTCATGAAGAGCGTCGGACCAACATCAGTTCTTCAAGCAGAACTCGTGAGTATTTATGAAGGTTTGCAGGTTGCTTGGAGCCTCGGCATCCCACGGCTTCTGATTCAATCCGACTGTAGCCAAGCAATCAAGTTAGTAAACGCAAAAGGTGCGCGTGACATCTTTATCCCTTTAGTACGAGCCATTGTGGATTTGAGAAACCGAGCTTGGGAGACGACCTTTGTATGGATTCCAAGAACAGGGAACATGATCGCTGATAGGCTGGCCAAGCTCGCCCCGACTCCTTGCCATGATCTGGTCCATGTCAACTCACCCCTTGAGCTCACTGATAAAAGTGTATATATATATATAGTAAATAATTTAAAAATATTTATAAATTCAAAAAAGGTCTTTAAAAATATATTTAAGAATATGATGAAATTTTTTAAATTTTTTTCATTTTTTATCATTTGAGTATCACATGATATTTTTTAATTATGTCTAGGAGTGTAAATGAAATCAAATTTGAACGAATAAGGTTGTGTTTGTGTTCATGTTTGGTTTGTTTAGCTCTTGTAAATATGTTTATTTAACATTCTAGAACATAATCGTTTTTATATTCAAAAACTAGTGAAATGACGCTAATAGTTCTTAAACTCCTTAGGCTTCACGGTTTGAACTCTAAATTTCATCTCGTGTTCAATTTAATCTTTAACTTCATCAATATTTAAAATATAAAGATTAAAAAGAAGCCAACTTGAAACACAATACCTCCCCAAATTAACCTTAAACACATTACCTCCTCAAATTAACCTGAAACACATTATCTTCCCAAGTTAGCCTAAGCCTTGTATAAACATTAATCTTTACACTTGTCAAATGTATATGATTTTCGAAAGATTAAAAGAGAAGTTGATTTATTTGATATTCAATGAACTCTTATTTTACAATTTGTTTTGATTGTGAGCTTAAAGAAAATGGCAGCATTTTTGAAACTTTCATGAAACTTTTTTTCTCACATTTCTAAAATTGAAAGAGTAAGAAAAATATTTTCAAATAGGTCAATCTCAAGTGAAAAATGTATTTTAAGCTGGTGAGGCCCATCCTGTCTCAATTGGGGAAAAACAAATGATGTCAGAATAATGAATCATTTCACAATCCTGAAAGCAAATAGTCTGAGAGATCAAAAGAGTTGGAGGATAAAACTTCTAACACTTCCTTGTGATGTTTGTGATGTCATCGGTAACCCGTTGAGAAGCAAATGATTGCCTTAGTCTAAAGGGGCACATATCCCAGCTCATAGCAAAAATGCAAGACATTTATGTTAGAAGAATTGATCAATTCTTAAGTGTCCATGGCATCATGAAGAGAAGCCCTCAAGCAATTCGATAACATTTTTGTTTAGTGACAACAAAAAGAGACCATTCAAGATTAAGATATTTTGGCACGAAAAGAACCATGAAGGTCTGCATTGGGGCATTACCAAAACCAGATTTCGCTGAGATAACAAGATTCAAATCATACACACATGGTGAATAAGCATCACCACTTGGAGTGCCAGGGTCAAAAGATGAAAACAAAAAGAGATTACCTTGAGAAACAAACCATTCATGATTTAAGTGGAAGATGAGTCTCAAGAAACAAATTTAATTTAGCGGTTGAGTCAGGGGGAAAAATGGTGTCAAGGCCATATACTTGATCATATAACAAGAATTTGTGAGAGAAAACATTTCCTCCGAAATGAAAATAGAAAACAAAGACCACAAGATGATCAGACTGATCCTCAAAAGATTGCAAACCTGAGCTGGCAAGTTGCTACATCGATATTAAGGCAGGTTCCATGCAAAGATGATCAAGTGAAAGAAGACTGAGGTCACCACTTTGATGCAAGAAGAAGAATGATCAACATTTCTGCATACAAGAAAGTCACACATTACATTTAGAGATATTTAAGTGCATTCATATTGTCATAAATTTGTACATAATTCTTACATATTTTCCAAGAAACGTAGAGAAAGAAAAGTCATAATTCAAGCCTAGAATGGAGGGAATTACATTCAGAGTGGCAGAATCTCAAGAATTGAGGAACCCAATCCACATAACGATCATTATTTTAAAGTAGGGTATTTTACCCAATCGATATGATATCTTTAAAGAAACTAAGTTTGATTTTCAGACGTTTCTTGACATGGTATTTTCAAATGCATTTTTTAAATAAGCTAAGTCTGATTTTCATATGTTTCTTGACATGATGTTTTCAAAAGATTTTTTTAAAAAGAAACTAGGCCTGATTTTCAGAGGTTTCTTGACGATTAATCAACCAATATGTTGGTTTCAAAAGTTTTTAAGAAACCCAGCTTGATTTTCAAGGGTTTCTTGATTCGTAAGTATTTCGGGCTATCCGTAAGACCATCAAGTAGGATGTTTTCACATGATTTTTGAAAAATGAGAAAGCAATTTCCAAAGTTTTCCAAAGTTTCTCATTTAAATCTTTCTTGAAATTTGATTTTTTTAAAGTAAGAAAACAATTTCCAAAGTTTCTTACTTAGTAAGTCCCTCGGGCCATTAGTAAGTATTTCGAGCATGATGCTTAAATCCTTCGTGTCATCTATAAGCCTTTCGAGCAAGATGATAAGTCCTTCGGGCCATCTATAAGGCATTCAGGCAAGATATTTTCACATAATTTTCGAAAAATGAGAAAGTGATTTCTGAAGCTTCTCATTTAAATCTTTTCTGAAAATTTATTTTTTTTGAAAAGTAAGAAAATGATTTCCAAAGTTTCTTACTTAGTAAGTCCTTTGGCCCATCAACAAATCTATCGAGCATGATGCCTAAATCCTTCGGGTCATCTATAAGCCTTTCGAGCAAGATGATAAGTCTTTCGAGCCATACATAAGACCTCCGGGCATGATGTTTTCACATGATTTTTGAAAAATGAAAAAGCGATTTCCAAAGCTTCTCATTTAAATCTTTTCTGAAAATTGATTTTTTTGAAAAGTAAAAAAAATGATTTCCTATGTTTCTTACTTAGTAAGTCATTTGGGCCTCGTAACATACAGTTGCATTATACTGGTGATTTGTCGTGAATAAATGTCGAAGACACAAGAAATAATGAATGCTTCTTGAACCAGTAATTATGATGTTGAGCCAATGTTGACTTCATAAGGGGTTTCTATAAATTCTAATTTCACCCAATTTGAAGGTTGTGTTCTATCTGCGCCAAGATTAAAAATAGATGTCCGGGAAGTTCTCTTTTCGCTAAATGGGCAATAGAACTTTGAAAAAAATCAATGCAAAGCTTGGAGGGCTGAATTCGATGTTAGCAATTGAGCAAACACCTTCAATTATGATTGTTTCTAAGGTTTCAACTATCACCCTTGGCATGGATGTATTATAGGACTTATCAGGGAACACGAAT